ACCAGGAACACAGCACGTCCTTTGGACCCGGGGTCCCTGAGCCTGAGAAGCTCCTAGACCAGGGAAAGATTGATGACAATGATTTTCCTCCAGAACCCACAGAGAGAGAAAGACTTCCCTAAAGCTGGTGCCCTGAATTTGGACTTCTAGCCTCCTAGACTGTGAGAATAAATTTCTCTTTGTTAAAGCCATCTACTTGTGGTATTTCAGTCATAGCAGCACTAGATGACTAAGACAATTATAAAAACCCAAGAAATGGATTACACACAGAAAAAAACAATCTTTGATGGGTACAAGAGAGGGGAGGGGTAGGAAGGGGAAATCATTAACTAAATAGTAGATAACTTTGTTGAAGGGAAAGACAACACAGAATACAGGGGAAGGCAGCACAACTTGACCAAGACAGTCAAGAAGCTTCCTAGACACATCCAAAAACCTCAAGGGATTGAGTTACTGAGGTTGAGGACTGGGGACTATGGTCTCGGGGTACATCTAGGTCAGTTGGCATAACACCATTCACAAAGAAAATGTTCTACATCCTACTTTGGTGAATAGTGTCTGGGGTCTTAAAAACCCACAAGCGGCCATCTAAGATGCATCTGTTGGTCCCATCTCGTCCGGAGCAAAGAAGAATGAAAAAAACCAAAGACACAAGGGAAATATTAGTCCAAAGGACTAATGGACCACTGAATCACAGCCTCCACCAGCCTGAGCCCAGAAGAAGTGGATGATGCCTGGCTATCAGCACTGACAGCTCTGACAGGGATCACAATAGAGGGTTCCAGACAGAACGGGAGAAAAGATGTAGAAAATACAAATTTACAAAAAAAAAAGACCAGACTTACTGGTCTCACAGAGACTGGAGGAACCCCCAAGACTATGGCTTCTGGAAACCCTGCTAACTCAGAACTGAAGCCACTCCCAAAGTCCACCTTTCAGCCAAAGATTAGCCAGGCCTATAATAGCATACGTGAGAAATGTGCTTCTTAGTTCTATCAAGTATATGAGACCATATGGGCAACACCTGCCCAAAACAAAGACATGAAGGCAGAAAGGGACTGGAAGAGTGGATGAATGGACATGGAGAACCCAGGGTGGAAAGGGAAAGGGGGAAGAGTGTTGACAGATTGTGTGATTGCAACTAATATCACAAAATAATTTGTGTATACATTTCTTAATGAAAAACTTAAAAAAAAAATTTTTTTAAGACTAATGTGTACAAGGCATAGGATCCTACACTAAGTGATTAAAAATGAACAAAAAAGCCAGGTCTCTACATTCAAGGCTTATAGGCTAGTGAGATAGATAACGTATAACTGAAAGACAGTCCTTTAAATGTTTAAAGCTCTCACTCAAGATTTTGTCTTAAATTGTTAAACAAACTCAATCTCTTTAAGCATTATTCATGTGGCACCATTTCCCCTGCCCCCTCAACCTTCTATTGGTTTTATTTTTTTCTGTTTAAGGTGAAAATTTACACAGCACATTAGGTTCCCAACTAACAATTTCTACACAAATTTTTCACCAATGTTATTTACATTTTTCACAAAATGTCATCATTCTCATGCATTCCATCCTAGTTGTACCATTTCCAGTACTCTAGCACACAGACGAAGAGGCTGTCATTTGACCGGAACAACGGGATACTCTGAGGTTTAAAATCAGGAAAGGATTCACTCATTAGTTTCCCATTTAATAATTTCTTCACAAATTATTCAGATATTGGTTACACTTTTAACAATGTGTCATCATTTATTCTGTTCTGGTTGTATAATATTTCCAGTACTCTAGTACATAGACCAAGAGATAGTTGTTTGAACAGAACAAGGGGGCTACTGTGTGCTTAAAAATCAGGAAAAGTGCGTCAGGGTTGTTTCCTTTCACCACACTTATTCAATCTGTATGTTGAGCAGATAATATGAGAAGCTGGACTATATGAAGAATGGGAAATCAGGATTGGCGGAAGACTGATTAACAACCTGTGATATGCAGATGACACAACCTTGTTTGCCGAGAGTGAAGAGGAATTGAAGCACTCACTGATGAAGATCAAAGACTACAGCCTTCAGTATGGATTACACCTTAACATAAAGAAAACAAAAATCCTCACAGCTGGACCAATGAACAACATCATGACAAATGTAGAAAATATTGAAGTTGTCAAGGATTTCATTTTACTTGGATTCACAATCAACGCCTATGGACGCAGCAGTCAAGAAATTCGATGTATTGCATTGGGCAAATCTGCTTTTTAAAGTGTTCAAAAGCACATGTCACTTTGATGACTAAGATGTACCTGACCCAAGCCATGATATTTTCAATTGCGTCCTATGCAGGCAAAAGCTGGACCATGAATAGGGAAGATCAAAGAACTGATGCATTTGAATTACATTGTTGGTGAATATTGAATATGTCATGGACTGCAGAAGAATGAACAAACCTGTCTTGGGAGAAGTGCAGCCAGAATGCTCCTTAGAAGGGAGGATGGCGAGACTTTGTCACGTACTTTGGACATATTATTATTAGGAGGGACCAGTCCCTGGAGAAGGACATCATGTTTGATAAGTAAGAGAGAGGGTCAGTGAAAAAGAGGAAGACCCTCAACAAGATGGACCCTGAATGAGATGGACTCACACAGTGGCTACAAGAATGGGCTCAAACATAGCAACGATTGTGAGGATGGTGCAGGACTGGGCCGTGTTTCGTTCTGTTGTACGTAGGGTCACTATGAGTTGGAATCAACTCGATGGCACCTAACGAGTTTTCCTGACCCCTTACCTTCTCATCTTTGCTTTAATTTTTTGACCATTTGGTCTTATATAGATGATCTTTTAAAGGGGCTCCTTACTCACAGGTGATATTCTTTATGAGCCAAACTGTTATTGAGCTAGAAGTTGACCTAAAGGGATAATTTCAGTTCCAGGTTTTAAAGAGTGTCTCAGGGCGACAGTCTCAGGGAGTCCTCTAGTCTCAACCGGCCCACTAAGTCCAGGCTTCCCATTGGTTTTAGATGGTCAACTTTCCCCTTAAAATGTGCCCAGGATTGGACAGTTCACTGGACGTGACCTATCAGAAGTCAATGCCCAATTAAGAATTAGATATTTTATACAAACTGTTGGCAAGCCAGATCTCCTCTAGTTTCCACTCCTTACCATCTATAAAGTGTAGATGCTTTTGGTAAAATGTCTAAGCAGTAAAATGTGAAGTAGACAGTAGGTCTCTTTTGATCCATTCCTCAGAGGTTATTACTTTACAGAAATTTCCAAGACTATAGACCATATATATGCTATTGATACACCCACACAAACTGCATACTTACTTTACATGGCTTTCTGTGAATTCCTTTTATCATGGACATCGTGCACAAAGACGTATCTTGTTTTTGACAACTGCATATTGTCTGAATTGACGCACATTGGTTTAGACTACACCAAATCAATAAAAATTTTAGTTATTCCCACGTTTTTGCCTATTATAAATAATTCCAGGATGAGCTTAGGGTGACTTGCTAATTATTATCAGGTCTCAAATGTAACTCGCCGTTCTCTAGCCTTATTTTTTTTTGGTTAACACTGCCTATTAACAATTTTGGCTGTCATCCTCTGAATCATGAAAACCAGTAACAAACAGAACGGCGTATCATGCCAATGAAGGTTTCTCTTTAGTTAGTTGTAAATCCATTAATTAATAACTCAGCACTTTTCCAAGAAACTAAGTCACCAAGTCGGAGCTTTCCTAGATTTCTCACTATGCCCACAATCCATGGGAAAGTTCTGAAATGCTCAAATTTGACCATGGAATTAATTTAGTAGCTAAGAGAAAAAACAAAAAAAGGTTTAGTATCACAGAAGTGAATGTGTTTAGGGAAAATACGGTCAGCAAAGTCTTGAAGAAGCGTCTGGGGAAAATCACACTGGCTTTGCATAGAATAAACGATCCTTACAAACAAAAGTCTCTCTTACAAGTTGGGGAGAACTGTACTTTCTGAAGGCAAGAAAAATGTTCATGTTTTTGCCTTGACATTCTCAGATACCCAATAAGAGGGAAAACTGTTGGTAGCTGCTGCTGGGTGGGCCCTCATCTTATCATGACCCATGTGTTACAGAGTAGAATTGCTCCAAAGGGTTACCAAGGCTGTACTCTTTATAGAAGCAGACTGCCTCATCTTTCTCCCACGGAGTAACTGGTGGGTTTGAACTGTCCACGTTTTAGTTAGCAGCCCAGCCCTTAAACACTGTACCACCGGGGCTCCTATAGTATGTATTATAGTGAAAACAATTACAGGTTGCAGGGCCTAAGAACCCTGGGTTCTGAATCATTAGGTCCTCCATGGAGCTTTAATGTGCAGCTAGAGTTGAAAGCTGCCACATCAGGGAATCCAAGGGTCATAATCACATGTAACCCAAACAGCTCAATATTAAAGAGGGAGGGTAACTGGTTTATTCTACTGTTGACTATTAGTAGCTTCTTCAAGGTAATCTCATAGATACATATTGACTTTACAGATTTCTTAAACAGACAAAAGATACATCACTAAAGTACCATGTAATAGATTAGTGAAAAGAAATGTAGTACTCCTAAGGGTTGGGGGGCGGGGCGGGCGGGGAATCTCCTTATAATAGAAAACTTTCAAGAACAAAAACAAAAAGCATTCTTATAAATTTAATAAACACGAGAAGCTTCTACTTCTTAAAAAAAAAATCACCAACTCATGTAAATTAATTCATCAACTCATAAAAGGAGTAGAAACAGAGTCCAATATTAATTTTAAAAATACCTGACACACTATAATGTATGTATATAGTCTCTTAAATAGTTTAGCTTTTAGACTAACTCAGCCCTGGTGGCACAGTGGTTAAGAGTTTGGCTACTAATCAAAAGGTTAGCGGTTCAAATCCACCAGTCACTCCTTAGAAACCTTACTGGGGCAGTTCAACTCTGTTCTATAGGGTGACTATGAGTTGGAATCAACTCGATGGCAATGAGTTTTTTTCTGGTTTTTCAGTATTAAACACCCAGTCTTTCTCAGGAAGTCATGGCAAATCCAAGTACTGTTCTGTGTAGCCATTAACAATCCTCTTTTTCAGTGGAATAAAGACGTTGCTTCCTTAAACAGAACTCTTCTTAATATGGGCGTCTTAAATCTCACGTCATTACCAGACACTGTGTTTTACAGAAATGGATTCTCCAAGTCCATTTTGATTTTTAAAGCAAACAACTTTAATATTTGATTACATATTCATTGTAGAAAAATGTGAAGATACAGAAAAATATAAAAAAAAATAAAAATTATTCAGTATCTCTCCTCTAAATAGGATAAAAGATTACATTTCTTTCTATTCTTTTTGTACAGTTACATAGAATTTTAAAACAAAGTACTGTCATTGCTTACATATCCTTTATTCATTTCATATTAATACAGCAACAGTTAGTTTAGGACATTAGATATTATGTGAAAATGTGATCTTCAGCTGGCTGCTTCAAAATCTAATTACAGCTAACCCATAATTTACCTTCAATTGTTGGATATTCAAGATTGTTTTCATTTTTTTGCTATTATAACTAACACTATATTGAACATCCTTCTTTATACAAAATTCTTTGTATGTATCTCTGATAACTTTGTAAAGATAAATTCCTATGAGTAACCAGATCAAACAGTATAATTATTTTTTAAGCTTCTTGATATATTTTATCAAACTGCTCTCCAGAAAAATTTTACCAATTTACAGCCACACACGTAAAAAGCCCAATAGTCCCATTTCTTCTTTATACACCTTGGCAACATGGGAAACTAGATATTACCTAACACTTCCCTTTATTGTTGCGAATCTAATAAAGGGTGGGGAATTGGTATCTCCTTATCTTTTTTCTAATGTAAGGATTTTTTCTGCATGTTTACTGGTCATTTGCTTTTCTTGTCTTTTGAACCAGCCCAAGTCTCATAGAAAGAATCCCCAACATGTGCAATTTCTTGTCTTTCTTCTCACATTCTTCCTAAGCAGACAAAGGCACGAAAGCTGCATGTATTTTCCATGTTTTTTCAAATTTAGCAGGAATTCCCGAGGTGACTGGAATTAGAAAGTCTTCTTTTCTTCTGGGCAGCCATGCTATTTTAGTGTCTCGGCAGTAAAACTGAAAACTGGGCCATATTCTGAAAGAAAGTAGGCACAGATTATGACGAATCAAGATTTACCAGAATTTACTGTCTTTCATACTTGAGTGAGCATATCCCTTGGGGTGCTTGTTCAAAACCAGATTCTGATTTGAACAAGTAAAAACCAATGGGACAAGCACTTTTAATAAGCTCTCCAGAAAGACTGTCACGTCAAAGTTCAAAAAAAGCCAGCACACAGTTGTGGGACTTTACGCGTAACTCTTAATTCTTAGGTTCTCACATTCCTTTCCCATCAATTAAGGTTAATAATGCTGATCTCAGAGGATTGTTCTGATTCTCACTTATTTCCATCCTCTTTTAGATCTATGAGGGAACATTTTATAAACCGCCCTCCAGTGTGAGTTATGGTTTATGCAACCTCTCCTTCCATGCGGGAGACCTGGGTTTGATTCCTGGCCAATGCACCTCAAGCACAGCTACCACCTGCCTGTCAGTGTAGGTTTGCGTGTTGCTATGATGCTGAGTGGGTTTCAGCAGAGCCTCCAGCCTAAGACGGACTAGGAAGAAAGGTCTAGTGATTTACTTATGAAAAAAATCAGCCCATGAAAAACCCTATGGATCACAATGGTCCCACTGTGCATGGGGTTGCCATGAGTCAGAGGGTAGGCTCAATGGCAGCTAACAATATTATACCCCTTATTCCACTGTAAAAAAAAAAAAATCATGAAAATTTTAATGTATCAGGATCTCCAAACAGAATAGGATCTTCTTCATCATAGCAAACTTTATGTATCTTTGAATACCAGAGCTTGGCATATAATGGGTATTCACTTAAGTACTTCTGAATTAAATTAGTGAGTGAGTGAGTGATTTTACATCTCAGTGCTTAGAAGACAGAAACATTCGGAATAAGGGATTATTAGTACCATGCACCTTAATGCTACAGAACAGAGGCCACAATTCTCAATTTTGTCTTGAAGAGTGATTCTTCATTTTCTCTCTTCAGGTTATTGTATTTTCCCACAAATAACCGCTAACCAAAAGTTTGGTAGTTCAAATCCACTCTATGGGGCAGTTCTACTCTGTCCTGTAGGGCCACTACAAATCAGAATCAACTCGACTGCAACGGGTTTGGTTTTTGGGTTTTCTTCTATGTTTGTTTGCTGGTCCCCCCCCCCCCCCCCGCCCACAAGCGAGGCACCCTCACAATCGCCACCTCTTCCACATGTTGCTGTAAAAAAAAATTAGCATGGCATGCTTAAGAAGCTATCTCGAGGGGGAGGGCACGGCCGGCAAATAGTTATCTGTGCAAAAATACAGTATATATCCCTTGAGAATTTAATTAAAACTATACATAGTAAGCCTCTTTTAAAAATGCATGCATACAAGAGTACACAATTTTACACACACTTCCAGAAACTCTAGAAAAGGAAAACAGAACACTGATTTCTACCATCCAATCATTTTTACTTAAATAAAATAAAGCTGAAGTAATAATAAATTGATTGCTTGACCATTTATGTTCAAGTTCCAGAGATTATGACTCAAATGGGACAACTGAATTGTATATGTATAAAATGGTGACAGAGCAAACGTTTCTCTCTCTCTCTATATATATACCACAAACGTATTAAATCAGAACAAAAGATCACCATATCCTGCAGGGTTCCTAATATGTAGCTATCATAACTTCCCCTCACACTAGTTTCAGAAGCAGCCAGGGTATGACTCACACTTCCAGCACTTTCTTTACCTAGTCAAGCAAAAGTTCCGATGTTACACCACATGCTGTTTATACTCGAGACAACCTAACTGAAAAAAAAAAAAAAAGCCACCTGTTCAAGTCTAAATGGACATTCCCTAACTCACAGAATTTAATTTTCTGTTTCTCTTTCCTTCATAATAATAACAAGGGCTTCCCTTTTTTCAATGTATAATGAAACACTTCACGGGAGACAGAGGCTATTATTTATTCATTAAGCAATATCTATCTTCTAGGTACAGTATTGAGACCAACCAATGCGTTCCCTACTGCTTATGGACAAAGTCTGGTATGGAAGGCAGATTACAAATTCCAATACTGCTGTCTTTGTTCATCCTAAAGACATACCTTGTCACAGTGGAGTGCTAGGGCATGCTTGTACCAGCTCTAAGAATCAACTGTGCGTATGCTTCCCAACTAACCAGTGACTTCATGTTGGAGGTTTTTAAACCAACAAATGTGCTGAAACATTGATTACACAGAAATCAGCAAACACTACAAATCAGCTTCATCCGTAGCAGTAGGCAATCCTTTAGCAGCACATCAGTGTCACTAAAACTGTAGCTCTCATTCGGAGTCCTAGGTCTTAATTCAGGCAGGGAGGACTTATATCTACTTTTCAAATCCTTTCTCAACTATTGCTATAGGATCCAAGAGTATAGGTGTGTTTTCGGAGACCCCAGGATATAATGGTTATCCTCTTCAGATACTGGGTGAATGCAGTATCAGTTTGAGGCAACTCTTTATCTAGCGTGGTTAATCAAGACAGTCACAAACGTCCAAATAAAAATCATGCATCTCTGAGCTTATCAGTCAGTTTAAATTATATTCTGGGAATTAATACTAGAGTTGGAACACTACCAATCTGTAATCCATCTCATATTTTGTCACTAACTACTATCTTAGTCTGATGCAACATTACCGTATTTTACGCAAACAATGCCTGTAGTACACATTTTTTTGCCAACTGCACACTCCCCTCAAAAAATATTTTCATAAGTGTGTTATGCCCGTATTATATGGGTGAGCACGCTGTCTGCAAAAAACACAGTGACGTTAAGCAGATATTCCTGGCACCATTTTGGTATTGCTATGTCAGTGTTTGGACTTGAAAGGCCTGCTGACACTTTACATGGATCTTTCAAAGAGAAAATAGCTTTGTCACCAACCTAAGCCATTAAGTAGGGCAAGTACTATCAATCATCTGAAGTAAGACTAAGGGATACACTGTGGTACATTAGATAAGAAAACTCTCTCCACCTTATCTTCCAATGGACTTTTTTACCAGCCAAAAGTATGTCCATTCAATTTTGCAAGTGGTTAGCATGGTAGTAAATAAATGGCATGAAAACTTACTGAAAATATCTTGCATTGCGTAGAACACATGAGGTGACAGAACACAGGTGAACTATAAATAAGAGAAAAGGGCAGCTGAAGATCTATGGTCTGATGTCTCCAGATGGCTGAAGACACTTACCTTCAGGTTATGCAGGGTTTCAGACCATTCCATGGACCCTATCTGAGGTATGGTAGTGAGGAGCAAACTTTTGGCTTTATTAGCATTTTCTTTCAGGGTCTTTAAGACCTTGTCCACTGAAACCTAGAGAAACAGCAGCACAGAATGTTAGCAGTAATTTCAATTTCCATTCCTTTTCACGGATCACATTCCCACTTTTTCCTGAGTCCCAACCTGATCTGCGAAGTCAGTTTACTGTAGTTTCAGTCCTCTGAGCCCAAGCTCTGCATTTATCAAGACTGGTCTTAGTCCCAGGGGGAGGTCTTAGAGAAACCTAACATCTCTGAAAAGCACTGAAGGGTTTCAATATGTGTCTGAGAAATGATCTCAGATGTACAGTGTATCAGTACGGTCTAAAAATACATGGCTACTCCTCATGTACAAAGCAGAACTGGTTCCAGTCTTAAAACTGTTGCTACACTGGGTAACCAACAGAAGATAAGCATACTTGTTTTTAGAGAAGTATTTCAGTTAATAAAAAGAAAAATGATGGAATCAAAAGTATAAGCATGTTTATAGCTCCTTATGAATTAATGAATTGGCTGGTAACATCACACACACACAAATATAACCAGTCATCATGTCAATCCTTCCTGGTGGAAGAACAAAACACTAATGACAGCACCTGAATTCACTGAAATCTCTAGATCCAACTCTGATTTACAGAAAATACAGAGAATGGAGAAATATGTTAAACTACCCTAAAGGGATGATTTTGGCAATCCAGACTGTGGAAAACTTTCTAGGACAAATGACCTAGTTGTCTTTTTAGAAAACCTGTAAGAAAAAAAAATCATGGTATCTGTGATAATTCATGACATCTGATGTAACTAGAAACTTTAACTTTTGCCTGGATATCTGAAGAAATTATTGGTGGAGTATGGCAATGATGTGGCTATGTTCTGAAATATTTATGGATGAAATTATGGATGAGGATATAGATGAAGTATGACTAGCCATAAGTTGATGTGATAAGGGCTGAAGCTGGATGTTGGATACATGGAAGCTCATACTTTTGTGTGTGACTGAAATTGTTTCCTAACAAAAAGCTGAAAACAGTTGTGAGTATACAACTCACTATCGAAGGCAGAGTACTTCTCATGCTTCACTATGCTTGTCAGAAATCCAAGATTCAGGGGCACAATTATTATACTTTATTTCCTTGAATGCAAAGTTCATATCCCTCCCACAAACATCAAAACGTGTTTAGAAAAAAACGATGAGCACAGAAACAGAGGTGAGCTCAGGTGTTGTGGGAACACAAAACAGTGACCAGGTACATGTCCAAGGATGTTTTAACCTGAGTCTTGGAATGCAGGATCATGAAGCATCCAAGAGATATGCCTTACACTTATTTATACTTTTGCTGTAACTGATATTTCTAGATAGATCCTGAACTCTATTTTCTCTCCTCTGTTCCCACTGTTGAGCTTCACCTAAAATGCCTCCTCACAATAAAATCAACCCTCTGTTCAAGATCCAGCTCAAATTTCATCAACTCTTCCCTGGTCCGCCCCACATAACTTAATCATAAGCACCATCTGATGACCACTCTCCTATAAGCCAGCACTATTCTAGTTGTTCTCCATATATAATTGATCAATTCTTCTAATAATCCTGCAAGGTTGGAATCATAACTAATCAACCACCATCACTCACCTCCTCCCCACCCCTAACTCCATTTTACAGAAGAGGAAACAGGCTAAATAACTTGCCCATGGTCACAATGGGTACAATTAAATGGGGCAACTGGAATTTGAAGGTGGGTGTAGGAAATTTCAAAACCTTACCACACTGGGCTATATATCTCAGTTTAAAGCATAATGACTCACATAGCTGGCTGAGTTAATGTTGTCTTTCACCTAAACCCTTCTGTGGCATTCAACATTATTTACCTTTGTGCCTTATCTCTTACACAGAGCTTAGTTTCTCTGCTCCTAACTAAAAGTACCATGGCTTCGACTGACTGCTTTTCAAACCTCACTTGGTCTACTAAAGGGAAGCACTATTAGTTCTGCAAAGGAGCAAACAAATTTTACTAGATGGAACACAAGCCACAGACAGGCAGCAATCTGTTCTGAGAGGGATGCAGGAGCTGGAGTTTCCTATTGACTGGAAATAGCTTCTCAATGCCATGAGGTTGAGTTGTCCTTAGGTTACCAAAGCTGCCAAATCAGATATAACGTGGTGATTCAAAATCAGGATTTACAAATCTCTTACGAATAAAAGACGCTGCATAATTACAAAACATCTTCCTATCTCCAGCATTACGCCAAGTAGTGTTTGGTATTCTTAGTGAAGTTATAAAACTTGGGGATTAAAAAATTCATAGGCAGAAAGAATGTAGTCAAAGGCTAAAATGTGGAACTGGGAAGAGATGAAATTCCCCTAGAACAGGATCTAAAACATTACCAAGGCCTTGAGAACCAAGGCCTTGAGAACCCCCTTTATTCTTCTCTAGACAAAAAAGGCAGCCTGGCAGTTAGCAATCGTTATGACACTGAGGAGTCAGGATGAGGCATTCATGCACAACAAAGAACCTGTGTTCATCTACGACCCAAACTCCATACACACGATGGACAGACAGCAAGAACATTTTACACCTCTACAGGAAACTGGATGCCAAAACAAGCACCTCCCCTAACTCAGCCCAGAACCACCACCCCCTTCTTTCCTACTTCAAGATTTCTTGACAGTATTTTGTCCCTTTCTCTACTTTAAAATGAGATAAACGGCAGGACAAACGATTTGGTTTCTTCAAATAAAATGGGGGAGGGGGGTTAGGTTAAAAGAGACTTAGAGGCGTATCGTTCAAATATAATGTGTGTGCTGTGTAAATTTTCACCACACACACAATAAAATATTGTTTAAAAAAAAAGTCATGTGTGGATTGGAAAGATCTCAATTTGAACAAACTGTTAAAAATTAAGAGAAAAAGCCCGGATATTTGATTATATTAAGGAATTAATATCAATTGTTTTGGTACCATAATGGTGTTGTAGTTATGTTTGTTTTTTTAAAAAAGGGGCCTTTTCGACAAATATTTACTTGAAAATAATGAGGGTGAAGGAGAGAACGTGGGTAGAGTCATATATGAAACAAGATTGGCATGAGTTGGTTAATGGTGGAAGCTGGGTGATGGGTATCTGAGGGTCCACTATGCTATACTTTTGTCTATGTCTGAAGTTTTCTACAATATTTATTTTGGAAACCTGAGTTCAGTGGTCCAGTGTCCTCAAACACCCCAGTAGGACCTTGCAATGAGGGGTCTAAGATCCCTCATGGGCCTCCCTTCTGAAATCCTCACCAGGGCTTTCATGGCCCTTTAATATGTAATCCTACCCCTTTCTCTTCTCCCTTCTACCCGCTACTCTCTACTCCACTTACTCATGCCTATTTTTCCCATCACACTTAAACCAGGTGGCTTTCCAGATGTCAAATCTTTGGTTTGTTCAATTGGCTTGGTACTCTGGTATCTCACCCACCATTTTTTTGTAACCCTTAGCTTTCCCTTAGCTACCTTCTCACCACTCAATAGACTTGTCTGTTTGCTGTCACCTTTTTATATCAAGTGTAGTATCCAGTCACGGTAGGTTAAACGGATGGATATGAAGACTCCTCTTACCAAGAAGAAACAAGTAATAGGTTTTTTCCCTATGAGAACGACCACAATAAACAGTAACACAGCACAAGGAAATTACATACTGAATCAAAAGACACCGTTATCCTTAAAACAAGGCCTACGGCTCAAAATAATTTCCAACACTCTAGAACATACATGCCTACAGTGTACTGCTCACTGTTGATCCTTGGATAAGTGTTTTTTTCTTTTCTATGAAGATCTCTGTTTCCACCTTCCAAAATGGGAGTTATAAAAAATATCTGGTAAAACCTAATGACGATGTACAAAAAAGGCTGACTAGGAACCCATCTCATCTCCCCAAGGGAACCACTGCTATCCGTTTTTTTGGTTAACTTTCCACAAATACTCTATTTGCATGTAAATATTTACATGTTTATTTCTTTATATACACACACTCATATTTTAATACAAATGGTAGAATATGATGGAACTGGCGTGCACCTTGCTTGCTGCTTGACAATTCATCCTTCCTTATCAGTACATAAACCTTGAAGAAAGGCACTTTCTGGAACTAATGCAATAGAAACAAATAGTTGAGACACTCTCTTACTGGTTTTCATGGCATTCAGAAACGCACACAGACACGCTCACAAGAGAATTTCACCTACCGCTTCCTCGTGCTCCTTCCAGCAATCATAATCTGTTGCCATGGCAATACTTGCATAGCAAACTCCAGCCTCCTTAGCAAGAACCACCTCTGGAACTGTAGTCATATTGATAACATCCGCCCCCCAGGTGCGGAACATGAGGCTTTCTGCTCGGGAGCTAAACCGAGGCCCCTCGATAGTGATCACTGTCCCCTTTGAGTGACACCGGAGTCCTAGCTTCTTAGCAGTCTCTATGAGGACCTAAAAGAGAAAGAGCCACAAACTCAAAACATATGAACACGCGAACAGCTGAAGATTTTATTTTTCCCTGATGTTAAACAGGTTAATTACCTAATTAAAGAAGTTCAGAGAGAACCTGGAAGATCACAGAAGGGTCCTTCCTAGACCCCTCTCCATTTATATAATCCTCCATTTCCCTACCTTCTTGCACATATAGCTCATAGCTACAAGAGCAAATACTGAGCTGTTTCTACACCACGAGCATCTGTTTTCATCTCATTTACTTCTTACCAACTTTAAGACCTGAGTTGGTTTATGAATACAGACAATTTGAATTTAATCCTTAACCTCTAAGGCTAACTTAAGGTGCCTCTCTCACCACTCACATCTCCTCAAAGAGAAGTTCTGAGATCTGTTTCCAGGCCCCTGACAAGTTCCACTCCCACTGCTCTTTTATATAAAATCTGAAGACATTTGTAAAAGCTTTTTTGGTTAGAAAGTGATTCCATCATAGTCTCTTTTGCCTGATACCTCTCCAAGGACATATGGTGAAAACAGAATGGAGCTGGGCTGATTTTTTTGTGTCTTGGGAGAACTTATCTCGGCATCCATTTGGTGACAAGGTCATGCATGGTTTTAGAAACATTAAAAAACATAATCATTTTGTCCAGTGTTTTAACTAACAACTGACATCTAGTCTTCAGGTTATTAATTTCGTTTTTTCTTAGCCTATGTTTCAATAGTTCCCTTTAAATTAAAGAAAAAAAAATTCTCTTAAACTCAACCGCTAACCTACAGTACATACAGTTGAAAAGTCACTTAACCTCTGTACGTCTTAGATTTTTCATCTGTAACATGGGAATAATATTGCATAACTCAGGGATGTTGCAAGCATTAAATGAGTTCAGATATGCACAGCACAGAATTGTGCTGGGCACACTGCAAACACTATCTAAAAGCTAAACTAGTCTTCTCGTGGTTATTATCGATGGCTGCGTCTACAGAAGTTTGCAAAAATAATTTGACAGTTTCCTGGAATATTATATAAACTGAAGTGTCTCTAAGTCAATAGAAAGCTCCAATCTAGGCCAAAATCTTGCCTGCACATGCTTTAGCACAGAAGAAATGGAGGAGACTTATGGGTGTGGGTGTGCCAGGCCAAGACGATTTTATCTTCTTGTCTCGAGTACTGTATTTTTATGCAAATAACACATGCCTTCTACAATTGTTTGCCAACCATGCTCCCCCAAATTCGTAGGCACCACTATGCTAATTTTTTTTTACACGTTGCTGTAAAAAAAAAAAAAGAAAAAAAATTAGCACAGTGTGCTTACGAAAATACCTTGCGTGTGTGTGTGGGGGGTGGTTGGCAAACAGAAGATATGTGTTATCTGAGTAAAATATGGTAATCAGTAACGGAACAAGTCTCACAAAGGTCCTGGCAGTAGTAGATCACCAGCTAAATGCATTTTATGTGTCAGAACTTTCATGTACTCGTTTCAGATCACCTCCTAAGATGACTAGAAGTGACACTAGTTTTGGAGTAATACTTGTACACAGTACAAATGTAAGCAGTATAAAAGAATATGTATTATTCTCTAAGGAGTATTTCTCCCACCCCTGTGTTCTAGGAACCCAGTTCCCCAAGGGAAATCAACTGTTATCAGGTTTTTCATTAACTTCCCAGAAATATTCTATTTGAATGTAAATATTTACATATGTAATCTCTTTATACACACACAAATTTTGCCATAAATGCTAGGATATGATACGACTGTTGTATACCTTGTCGCTTGACAATTCATCTTCATAATTCTTATCACCCCCTTAAAGATCATGTGGATATTGAAAGTTGTAAGTGATAATTATGATATCTACTCTTCCCATTTGCACAATATTTAAAAATCTCTTTTGGAGAGTATAAGAAGAAAGTAGTATTTTGAAGGCTTATTTTCCCCATTTTTCTCAACTGCTATCCCTAGTATTTTTTCAGTCCTCATATGGGGTGCTTGGCTTGGCTAGAATATTAGCTGAATTAATTTGGTCTCAAAGGAGGCCAAACTGCATCTTGGAAACTGTCATCCAACTGCACACTTGTAGTGCAGTAGCTGAAGAGCTTGACTGCTAACTGAAAGGTTGGTGGTTCGAACCCACCAGCTGCTCTATGGAAGAAAGATGTGGCAGTCTGCTTCAGTGAAGCTTACCGCCTTGGAAACCCCAGGGTCAGTCTATTCTGTCCTATAGGGTCGGTATGAGTCCAAATCGATTCAATGGCAATGGGTTTGGATTTGGTTTGATATCAAGGTAAACTCTAACTTAGAGAATAAATAATACAGCAAAAAATTCATCAAATGATTTCCTACTTATAAAACCATATGGTACTATTTTACTACTCTGACCAAATTTAGTGTAATAAAAAGCTTTAAGTCTTTAAAATAAAAAATGAAATCCCATTTAAATCAGTAAAATGGAAAAACATCACTCGCTTATTTGACTTTAAGTTCCGTTTTTTCAAGGAACCTGGGTTTGCAGTGAGGCTTTCCTATTATTAGGTAGACATTGTTGGTACTTATTTTAAAACACTTTTGTCATTATAACTGATGCAATCTTTCTCTCCTTGAGTAAGGAGCTCTGGTGGTACAGTGGTTAAGTGCTCGGCCACTAACTGAACAGCTGGCGATTTGAAACCACCAGCCACTCCGCATGAGAAAGATGTGGCAGTCTGCTTCTGTAAAGATTACAGCCTTGGAAACCCTATGGGGGCAGTTCTACTCTGTCCTATAGGGTTGCTATGAGTCACAATTGACTCGTTGGCAGTGGGAATGTACAGATCATTGGTACTTTCCCACCCACCTCTCTACCTAGTTCCCTACCAGTTCTCTGTCTGGGATAAGATCTCAGATTTCATATTAGCAAGTTTCTTGCCTATTTCTCGTCAAGCAGCCTTGATTTTGAAATGCACAGGACTTTTCTCCAACCTGAAATCCCCAGAGAGGGCAAATATTACACCAATAGATTTGTGTTTTAAAATTAATCTTCTATTTACCATATACAGGTGCTAAAATTAATCTGAATAATTAGCATGCATAGGTATTTAAACTCCCTAGTTAGCTTACTTTACCAAGTAGATTTTATTAGGAAGTTCACTTCTGAAGACATTTCTGATGTGTTGGGATGTACTTGACTTTCAAATCCGGCACGTGGGCCAATGGGCCAACAAATCAGCTGTTGGGATGTGGTAGCATTTTTGTTCCCTGGGAGCTAAGGCTGTGATTTCTCATCTTAGACAACCACTGGCCTTGGTGGGACTGCCCACTTAGTTCTGAGAGTTTACCGTCACCTTGGAGAGGAAGCTGGGCAATGGTCAAACTCAGCTCAAAGGTAAAAGATGGCATTCTGACAATTTTTAGATTATCAGTAACAATAATAAAATTTAATAAAAGCGATTACCATTCATTGGATGCTTTGTTACTGACAGCACTGCTCAAAGCACTCTATAAACATTAACTTTTATTCCTCCTAACAGTTGTATGAGGTACAAACTATCATTATCTCCAGTTGAGGACACCAAAGCCCAGAGATGTTAAGTAACTTGTCCTACCACACACAGCTGTTAAACTGAAGGGCAAAGATTTGATCCTAAGTAATCTGGCTCTAGACTGTATCCTCTTGACCAATATGCTATGCTATCCTAAATCAGTGAAGAGGTTTCCTGAGAGCAAAATCAAAACTTCTAAAAATGTTGGTTGCAACTTCGAGTGGTTCAGCTGGCAAATCATTGAGTAGTTGAGGCATTATTAGCAAAGGGAAAACAAAAACCCAAACCAAACCAGTTGCGATGGAGTCGACGGAGACCCCGTGTGTGTCAGAGTAGAACTGTGCTCCACAGGGTTTTAACTGGTTGATTTTTTGGAAGTAGATCACCAGGCCTTTCTTCCAAGGTGCCTCTGGGTGGACTCAAACTGCCAACCTCCGGGTTAGCAGCTGAGTGCTAAACGGTTTGTATCACCCAAGGAATCCCAAAGGGAGACAACTCTTCATAAAATCTTGCATAACCTTCCCCTTGAGAGGGGAAGACGGACCACCTACTCAGCCAATTAATCTAACTCTAGGTACCACTCCAAGCCCCTATGGTTCATTTTGATACACCTTCCAGAAAGACTACAAACCTCTCTCGTCTTGGGGCAGAATGGCTCAGCCATTGGAATATGGCCCACTCCTCTGGCAGAGGAACAACTCCCATCATAGAAGGTCTGAGGCCTTACAGTGGTCCTACAAGATAAAGTGAGAAGGTTTGTTTGTTTATAAAGCCATCTCTCCATCACCCAGGGGCCAGTGATTCCACTGTATTTAGATACACATCTTGGTCCCGACTCCAGAATCAATAGCTCTGGAGAAGCTGAAGGAAAATGGTGAAAAAAAGCAAGTTTGGGATGGTACTTGGCTTTTCCGGCCCTGGGCTGGTAGCAACATGCTATTGACCAGGAATTCAAGTGTCTGTGATCTGGATGCTGTGACAGGCTAACTGCTAACCCCACCTGTGTCTAAGTACAACTCAATCATGGGCTCAGGGAGGACAGTGAAACATTTAAGAAGCCAATACGAAAATCTGCAACCATCACAGAAATAGAGGATTACACACTGAACCCCATATACCCATCATCCAGATTCAACAATTTTCAAAATTTTGTCATACTTGCTTCACCTGTTCTCTTTTTCATGGTTGCAAACCCCAAATCTTGTGTCACTCTACTTCAGACGCATCAGAACATATGCATTATTTTCTATCACGATGTCACTTATCACACCTGATATAGACAACAGTAATTCTTTACTATCACCTAACATCAAGCCATATGAAATTTCCCTGATGGCCTCAAAAGTCTTTAACAGTTGCTTTGTTAGTTTCAGGGTCAAAACAAGGTCCTTACTTTGGCATTTGACTGTCATGTCTCTAAAACTGGGAGTAATTCCTGCTTTCCACCCCCAGCCTTATTATTTCACGCCACTGACCCACAAAAGAAACCATTGTCCTGCCCCACGTTCTGGAATTTGTCTCTTTGCTGCCTCATTTAGTGTATTCCTCTAACTCTCCATTAATTAGTTCTAAAGCTTCTTAGTTTAATACTTTGGTAAAACTTTTGAATCAACAAAAGAAAGGCTAACATAATTCCAGTGCCAAATCAACCAGTTCTTTCTCACCAGAAGTTTTCAGAGTAAATCACTTTCTATGCCCATTCAATTGTTCTACACTTGAACCCATGAGTAAGACAGGAAACAGAAGTCCTTATCTTCCCTACAGAGGGAAGGAGAGCAGGGGAGAGATGAGGCAGGGGAAAGCCAACAGGGGAAGGTAAAATGTCATTTGATGTCCTCTTCCGTGGGTGGGAGGGTGGGAAACAGCACTGAGAAACAGTTTTACTGGTCTGGAGAGAACAGCGCACAGCTGGCCCACCTCCCTACCAAAGTTAACCCATTACTTCCAACTCCCTCGCATGTCAACCAGTAACACTAGAGATGAGGCTTCAGCACTTTGAAGGAATGAAAATCTCGTCCGTGCTTCTCCCAATCCTTTGTGCCTTAAGGAAAAGGCTAAGTCATCCCCACTGCAGCTCCAGATGGGACTGAAAAACAAGTCAAATGACTGTTGCAGTCTATATAAATAAAAGCTTTTTTCTTTTTGTAAAGCACACGAATAAAATGGTGGCATGTATGTAAGTCCAGCTTTGGCTTGGTTTCAGCCTTCAGTGAGTATTAGCAGCATGCCCACTTACACCCGGGATGAGTATAAAAACAGGACTGCAGAAACCTCCAGTGGCCCTATACAACAGACATCCATGTGGAAACACCCCATCTTATCCCCTCTCTCTTCTACCCCAGCCCTTCATTGCCTAATTACTTCTCCCTCTGTTTTGAACTTCTACCTTAAGACATAATATTTATTACATTACACTTTGTTATGTTACGTACATGTGATGTTTGACTACGGTCTCAACGCTCTCACTGTTTTATATTTTTCTCTTTAAACAAAGCTTGTTAACATCTATGACTTTTAGCACGTGGCCTAACCTTTCTGATTCTCCATCTTTCAGTAATAAAATATGGTATTATTTGACCAATTTATAAGGGCATTATGAGGATTAAAGGGGCACTGGTGGTTCAGGGTAGAATTCTAACCTTCCATGTGGGAGAAGTGAGTTCAATTCCTGGCTAATGTACCCCACGCACAGCCACCACCTATCAGTGGATGCTTGCATGTTGCTATGATGCTGAACAGGTTTCAGCAGAGCTTCCAGACTAAGATGAACTAGAAAGAAAGGCCTGGCAACCTACTTCCGAAAATTAGCCCATGAAAGCCCTATGGATCACAACGGACTAATTTGCAACCAAAAATGGTGATGGCGCAGGACCAGGTAGCATTTTATTCCACCGTGCCATGTGCAAGGGGTCTACTCAATGGCAGCTAATGATAACAAGAACAACATGAGGATTAAGTCAACAAAGATGTCCAGATATCCCGCAGCAGCTGAGAAAGTGAGGTCTGGACTAGAGGTAGAACTGGAGTCAGCATCAAGAAAAAGTCCATACAATGAAAAAAAAACTGCGACTCAGAGTGCCCACGCTCGTAAGGATTAACAGAAGGGGCTGGCTCTGAGGAAGAAATGAAGGCATTAAAACCAACTAATGGTTTTGGGGCTATACTATCAAGACACTGAAAGGGAAGGTGAAGATGAGAAATGCATCTCCACTTCATTTGCCCACGTATGTGGTTTTGTTTAATGAATCTGTGTCCATGCATTCAATGAAATGTTAACTGAACTAAGCTTATTAAATCATGATAAACTGCAACACATACATACAGCACAAAATGACGAGGCACTACTACTCATGCTGAAATTCTGACTGAGAGCAACCAGGGTTACAACCACACTTCAGGGGAGCAGAGAACACCACCTGTCTTGTTCAGCTAGTGCTGCTCTAACAGAAATACCAAAAGTGGATGGTTTTAACAAAGAGAAGTTTATTTCCTTTCAGTAAAGTAAGCTAAAAAGTCCAAATTCAGGGTGTCAGCTCCAGGGGAAGGCTTTCTCTCTCTGTCGGCCTTATCATCAATGTTCCCCCGGAATAGGAGCTTCTCCGTGTGGGCATCCCAGGTCCAAAGGACGCGCTCTGCTCCCAGTGCTTCTTTCTTGGTGGTATGAGGTCCCCAATTCAAGGCAAATGGTGAAAAAAAGCTTCCCTTTCCTTTTATATCTTGTAAGGTAAAAGGTGGTGCAGGCCACATCCCAGGGAAACTCCCTTTACATCGGATCAGGGGTGTGACCTGGGTAAGGGCAGTGTTACAATCCCACCCTAATCCTCTTTAATATAAAATTACAATCACAAAATGGAAGCCAACCACACAATTCTGGGAATTGTGGCCCAGCCAAATTGATACACACATTTTTTGGGGAACATAATTCAAACCATGACACCACCCAAGGGGAACTGCAGAATGAAAATGTGTGTAGTAATTTTGAGAACTCTTGTCCTCCCTCCTGTTCATCACAGAGAAACCCGAGCAAGATCCCTGGAATAACTGCGCGTAAAGTCCTCACAGAGAGGAGACTTCTTTCTGTTCCTTGATCGAGCCTGGACAGGAGGCTTACACCTGCCAGTTCACACCACAAGTACTTCCAAATTCCAGCCAAGACAGCTCTTCTGCAAACAGAACTGCAGCACATTCACCCTCAGGCTGAACAGCAGCCCTAGTAGCACACTGGTTAAGTGCTCAGCTGCTAACCAAAAGGTCATTGGTTCGAATCCACCAGTGGCTCTGTGGGAGAAAGATGTCCAGTCTGCTTTCATGAAGATTAGAACCTAGGAAACCCTATGGGGCAGTTCTACTCTGTCCTATAGAGTTGCTATGAGTCAGAACTGATTCGACGACAATAGTTTTCGATATGGAGAAAATACAGGAAATCTACTTTTGTACCTGGATTTGAATCTTATTACTGAATTTCTGTGTGGTCTTGAGCAAATTAGTTAATCTCTCTAAGTCTGTTTCTTCATGAAAGTGAGCATTAGCAACATCAATACTGATACCTTTGATTCTATGTGAAAACCAATGAAGTCAATTTTGACTCACAGTGACCTTGTGTGTGTCAAAGTAGAACTGTGCTCCATAGGGGTTTCAATGGCTGATTTTTTGGAAGTAGATCACCAAGCCTTTCTTCTGAGAAGCCTCTGGGTAGACTCGAACCTCCAACCTTTTGGTTAGTAGCCAAGAGGATTAACCATTTGCACCACCCACCAAAACCAAATCTGTTGCCCTCGAGTCAATTCTGACTTATAGCGACCCTATAGGACAGAGTAGAACTGCCCCACAGGGTTTCAACGGAGCGGCTGGTGGATTTGTACTGCAGACCTTCCGGTGAGCAGCCGAGCATTTAACCACTGGCGCCATACCACCCAGGGACTCCATATACGAAAACATGGAGGCAAAAACCTCAAGGAGCTATATCTCTACAGACTTTGATACAATAATACCCCCATTTTACATGTTAAACGTGAGTATGAGGGTGGATAATATTTGTTGCAAAGTGTTACTACTATTATTGTCTTGGGAAGTAATGAGGAATAGATCCAGCCCTTGGCACACTGCATTCCCTCAAATCACAGTATAGATGAACTCATGTGCAGAGGGCTAAGAAGTAGAAGCAATCTTTTAGAGAGCGTCAATGGAAAACGCCTGCCAGACAGATTGTAAGCTTCTTGAAGAAAGAAGCTAGGGCTAGAGCAGTGACAGGTAAGTACCCTTCCGTAATAAAGAGGCCCCCATCAGGATAGGCAGAGTCCCTGGGTGGTGCGAATGGTTAAGCGCCCCATTATTACCTAAAGGTTAGCAGTTCAAACCCACCCAGAGGCACCTTGGAAGACGGGCCTGCTTCTGAAATGTTACAGCCTTGAAAACCCTATGGAGCAGTTCTACTATGCACACATTGGGTTGCCATGAGTCAGAATCGACTCGATGACAACTAACGGCTACAATACGAGGAGATGAAACTAGAATCTGCTCTTGGCCCCAACTGGATAAAATTCACCGCAGGCAACGTCAAACTCGTTGGCTGAAAGGACACTGATAGGAAAATGTGTTCTAGCCTGTGGCTGAGACAAATGGGAAGGATCACACACCTCCCACAACAACCTACACCAGTGACAACAGATTCAGGGGTGACAGTTCCATCCTACTGAGCTGCGGAAGTGGCACGCTGTGATAAACAGAATAATGA